TTGCAAAATGTCTCCCAGGGTACGGGCCGGACGTTGCATTCGAGAATGCGGCATTTTTTATTGCCCCTTCACGGTGTTTCAATTCTCGAACGGTGACGTAGCCGCCCAATATGGCGGCGGACGCGGCCTACATTTTGCGACGTTCTCGGATTTAATCGCCCCTTGTACGCGCTAATTTCAACTGCGGTTACTCTACGTTATGTCTTTTTATCCTCCACGGCGGATCCAACGTTTTGCCGCCAGATTAATCCGCTCGGCTGGGGAGAGCGAATTCGGTTTTTTAGCCTCCCAGGACTGGCACGACGCTCCGGCTAACGGCGAACGTGGACGGACGCGAGTACATTTGTTTGCTAACCTAATCGGCCTCGGCAATGTCGGCTATGCGATATCGCCGCCACTGGAATAACGAGAGTGACCGTGATAGCCATTTGCCGGAATGACGGAGCGGGAAGACTCTCGACCGTTTATAAACGACTTATCTCCTAGCTTTTATTTTCCCTCGAAAAGGGCATATATACATATACACACACACACCGCCGTCCTTAAATAAATTAAAAAAAAAATCATACCATAATCTAATGCACGGGTATAAATCGCAGTTGCACTTCTACCGATGTCAAGTACGTAAATGTCCTTTTATTAATCGAGAATTAAATGAATAACGACACGCGAATGACTTAGTGGGCGGGGGTCGTATCGTGTAATGTATCTTATTTATACCTCTTTGGTCTTATCGGGGGTGATATGGTTTTTCTTCTTATTTTTTTTTTTTCTTTAATTTCTGCACTTCCCGAAGTATGATATACCTTGGATTTTATTTCTTATTCTATTTTTTTTTATCGTTTGATTTTGATAAGGGGAAAGACACTCGGGCTTAAGGGAAGGTGGAAACTCGTCCACCTCCCGGAATCGTGTCGAGCCCCGAGGAAGGCGAATCGAGGGGACGCGAGGTGCAACTCGGGCACATCCGGATTATTGCACACCGTGGAACTTTTAAAACCGGTCCCGAAAGAAACGTACCAACAGGGGATTGTCCCGGAATTCTTAGTGCGGACGCCCCGGCGGACCTTAATGCCGAGTCTAGACACCCGTGGCTTAACCCAGTAGGTTAAGCCCGGCAAGACCTGTCGCGAGTACTTTCGGTACTGGTTCTTCGTGGACTCACTTTCATCCTCCCTGGGATTCCTAACCTCAATTAGAACTCGAAAATATCCGATCAAGTCAATGAAACGTTTCGACCGTACTTGTTATGTTAGGTCGATTATATGAAATATCGCGGTATATCACATATCGCGTATTGATGTAATTAACTGCATTAAAGCAAAACATTTTAGTCCCTCGGAGCGAACCGATTTGGTCGAGCGAACTGAAATTCGGTTATCTCGGTCGAGCCGTTTTCCGAAATAAACCAAATGCAGTCGGTCGAGCGATTTTGGGGAGTAAACCGATTTCCTATTTTTTTTTTTCTCCGTCAGCCGGGAATGCTCCGTGAAAAAAATTCCGCAGATCAGTTTACTCGATTTCTGGGCTCTTCCGTTATCTTCGCGGAGCTCGTATCATTTTTCCTTTTTTTTTTTTTTTCCTTCATCCGGATCGAAATCTATATTTTCGATATCTCGGGGGTGAGACTCTCTCCGCGAACAATTACTCGGGATCGATGTTTCTTGATTTTTGCACGTGGACATTTTGCACGTGATCGAAAATTTCGCCCCGACTCGAGTCGAAATCGAATCGCGCGGTCAGCGTCGCGACGCCGCGGCGGTTTAACGAGTCGTCGCGATAACGAGGTCGCCGTTTTTATTAACGGCTATCGGTAGCGTCGCGACGCTCCGGTAACGACGTGCGCGTCCTGCCGCGGAATCGCTCCCTCGGGGCCGTCGGACGTCCGCCCGGCGTCCGTCACCGTCACGTGACACCGCCGGACGGACCGACGCCATTTACGGAGCGACGGCGATAACGTTAATTAGTCGCCGCCTCGATTATAGCCGGGCTTCCGCGACGTCGACGCTTCGATCCATGGATCGCGATCCATCCCCGACAGTAACGAGATTTCATTTCCCCGGTTAACCAATCCTTTGGATTAACTAACCTCGGATTAACACTACTTCCACCAGGATTTTGTGTATACCCATTTCGACCGAAAGGTGTTTTGACGAGCTCGAGGAAAATGATACCGGTAAATAAATTGAACAATTATTATATGAAATTCCAATGCATTAATTGAGAAAAAAAAAAAATTATTAAACTTTGAAAATTATTTCAGGGTAAAATTTTAAAAGGTGTCCTTTGACACCTTTGGTGGAAATAGTGTTAACTTTTAGAGATTACCTCCTTTCGATCAGGAGGGAGGGAGCTCGAGGTGAGATTTTTTTTTTTCTAGATCCTCGGATCTTTGATAATTTCTTTGATAACCGAGAATCGAAACCGCCCCGTGGCGTCGATCCCTCTGAAACGCCACAGACGCCCAAGTTTCTCGTCGTTTCCAACCCTCGAAACGATCCTTCTCGCCCTCCTTCGGATCGATCGTCGCCACGCCGACGTGCCCTGCACCGTGGTTACGCACTCCTACCCCCGTACCCGTGTATGCACGCATGCACACGTGCACCTAAGTAAGGGTGCAGTGCTCGCCAAGATCGATACTCTCGGTACGTCCTATCGGTGCACGTATGTACCGAGCCCTTGCACGTCCTGCGAAGGTGCGCGTGAGTACACGCGTGTACCGGCCGCATTGCCGCGTATGTGCAGCTGCACGCGGCCCTAAGTGCGCGGCCTACGTGCGTGCGTACGACGTACATCCTACTTTCGCTTTCGACGGCGAGCACTCGCTGCGACGACCCCCTCGGTGGAAACTACGAAGCCGACCTTAAAGGGCATAATATCCCGCGCCGCCCCTGGACGTGTCGCTGCTCACCCCCGGACTACTCGATTAACCCTTTAGGGGAGGCTACCCCTCGCGGCTTCCTGGGAATCTGCGGGAAAAACCTTGACTTTTATGTGCTATAAGAAAATTCTCTATTTCGAGGTTAGATCCTCCTCCCTACCACGTGGACGGTCTCTCCGAAGTCCTCCTCCCTACAGGGTAGGTCGCCAAAATACAAAATGTTTATTAATAATCGCCAATGACGAACAAGCCGCTACCGGGCATTTTATCTCGAGTAATTAATGGGACCTGAGATTAATATTGATATTAATATCCAGTCTGTGCATGGATGGAAAATTCTCTATTTCGAGGTTAGATCTCCTCCCTACCACGTGGTCACTAAAATACAAAATGTTTATTAATAATCGCCAATGACGAACAAGCCGCTACCGGGCATTTTATCTCGAGTAATTAATGGGACCTGAGATTAATATTAATATTAATATCCAGTCTGTCAATGGATTCATTCTGGTCTGTTTTTATTTTTCCCTCCATTGTGAAAAGATATTGCACCATCTTATTCGGTGTATCCCTTCCATGGAAGTATCAACGAAGTCGACGGGATTCAATATCTCGGGGAGAGGGAAAAGAAACGGATAAGGGGAAGGCGAGGCCCGAGTCGGCACCGACGGAAGGGTCGTTTATCGCGGCTTCGCCCGTAATTATAGCCCGGGATGGAGATTCGCCCGAACGAGGTGGAGTTTTTCCGCGAGATACGCGCGCTTCCAAGAGGCCGACCCGGGAGTAAAGTCGCCGCCTCCCCGTCGTCTCTTTTTTCCGATTCCCGCGGTCTATCACGGCTCGGTATATCTCCGAGTCTCCGCCCGGAGGTCGAGAGGACCGTTTATCGGACCGGGGAACGTTCCTAACCTGCGATCGTGCGTGACGCGGAGTCACAACACGCGAGTCATCCCCGGGGTCTCTCCCCGAGCTGATAACCCGGCAATCCGAGATTACGGCACTGTCTCTCTCTCTCTCATTGTCAATCGGCGCCTCCTATCCCACCGATATCCCGGAACCCGACCGCCTGACCGCCACCCGAGACGCTGACCCAGGACATCCCCCAGGATCCGTCGACGTAGGTCCTAAGGGTTGCTCTTTCTACCCTGTTAAAAAAAAAATTGAAAAAAAAAAGCCATGATAATTTTTTTTAAATATCTTCGTTGGAAGTTCTATTCAGACATGGTATGCCAATTTTATCAAGTATCTTAGTTTACAAGTATTTAGAGTAGTACTTACTAAGGTAAGAGGCGTGCGAAAGTGTATGCAAATTATTCATTGTAAACATCTTGTAACATCGTGGAATGTACTTAGAAGGGGGTTTAATAAATCCTAGGGAGACAAAGTGATTTAATCCGACGTCTGTCCAGACCGATGTTATGGCGGTGGATTTTCGGCCGTACACGCTTATCAGTGCCCGACAGATATTGCATAGTAGATATCCCGGTGGATGACTCGTTAGCCTCTTACTTTTTTTTTCTCCCCCCCCACCGTTCTTCTCGGTACTTCGGGGATATTTACGAAGTGCTTCGGCTTTGACGTAACACCTCGACGAGTCGAGAGGAAGGACACGAGTCAAGGTAGAATACCGGTGTAAATTCCGCATCGCAAATCCTCCTCGCGGTAAAGGCCCTCTCGCTTAGTGGCGTTAAGTAACGAACCATTAAACGTCACCGCGGAGACGCGAAACGCCGCGACGCGCGTCGCTCGGATCAGCTGATTTCGCGAAGGCCCCTTTTGCATATGAATATACGGCGGAAACATCTTGGTATCGTTGGTAAATAGTTTATATCCATACGATACAATTTTTTTCAGTCCAGAAATCATTATACATATATCATAAAGTTACTAATATCCTCCATAATTTTATTATATATATATATATGTGTACTAAATTTATAACACATGTTATATACATTTAATTTGAAACTATGTTATAAAATTAGTATACCATGTCTGAATAAACCTTCCATGAGAAATGTTATAAAATTCACATCTCATTTTTTATGACGGCCATTGCGAAACGTCACAGTTGTACGTCGTTTGGGCTCGAGGTGATCTCTCGACTTTGTTCCCGCAGATGCTGTCGGTAAGCGCTGGAATGGAGGTCGGCAGCGGAGGTCACGGTGGTCACGGGGGTCACGGGGGTCACGGCGGCCCCGCGGGCGGCGGAGGCGGCGGGGACGGGATGCAGGAAGCCATGGTGGCGGCCGCGAGGGACCGGGCCGTCCGGGCGGGCAGCGTCCGGCAGGACCTCGCCCTGGACCTACCTCCGCGGCTCCAGCTTCCGGACGGCGAGGAGCGCCCCTACGGGGCGCACACCGCTCTCCATCTCCGCGATCCCGAGCAGGTGAGACAATTATTCCCATCGATTTTCGCAACCTTGCAATATTGGAGAATATACATATATACATGTATATATATATTAAGGTGACGTGAAACGCGTCGGGGAACTCGATCAACGTTGGTAATGATTTTCCTAAATACCTACGTTGCCGACATTCGTTTTCATACTGACTGTTGTGTCGAATTATATTGAGTATTAATAAATAAAGTATTAAATAGCACACTCCACCTGTCGTTCTCGTACAATAATTGTAATGAAAATCGAAGCAAAACTCGAGAGACGCGGAGAGCAGGGCCGCTTTTTCGAGGTTAGGGTTTCGGTAATCAAAGCCCGGCCGCAGCTGGGGGGGTGAAATCGGGGTGGAGGGCGGCGGACGAAAACACTCGAGATAAGGTGTCCGGTCCCTTTCCCTGGGTCGCGCGACCCTCTCCTCGGGGGTCTCGATGTCCGGGTAACTTTCAAGGGAACGGCCGCCTGGCGCGACTCGGCTATACTCGGCTACCCTCGGCTCCGCTCGGCTCGACGCGACGTAAACACCGCGGCCGGCCTTGAGCCGCGGACGGACGCATCGGAATTCTCGCGGTGATCTTATCCAGCCTCGCGGCTTTATCGGAACTCCCCCCCCCTCCGGAGGGAGGGGCCAGTTATTATTATTATACGTACTATGGAGTGTCCGAGATTTCCAGTCTTTTATATATATATATATAAAATTAGGGAAAGTATGTATACTTTCGTTTTATATATATATAACGACCCTTTCGTATCACCTTAACCCCTTAACTTGTGCGCTCGAGTTATTTCGAGCGGCGTTGTATTTTATGCTACTACAATTCTCCACCCTCGAATATAATCGAGAATTTTATTTTTCTTTGCCAAGACTTTTACATTAAAAAAGAAAAAATTGATTTCTTTTGGCGGTTTTTTTTTTTTTTTTAATCTGTGCGTTAAGGGGTTAAGGGAGCGTTTCTGCGGTGTTCTCGTAGAACCCCGGTTCCCTAAAGTGGGCCTTCCGTTTCAGGAGAGCGAGATCTACCAGAAGTGCGTGCGCCCGCCGCCCAACCGGACGGTGTTCGACAGCGAGAGCCCGCCGCCGTACCGGAGCCAGTCGGCGCTGCTGGAGGCGCCCGAGCGGATAGTGCGCTGCCACAGCGCGGGCAGCTCGCTCCTGAGGGTGTTCCGGAGGTTCCCGAGCGGAGGCTCGGGGAGCTCGACGCCGGCGGTGCTGGTGCCGCGCAGGCCGACCCTCTCGAGCTACTCGGAGTCGAGCAGCAACCTGAGCAACCTGTCGAGCCTGACGGTGGTGCCGTGCGAGGCGGACGAGAACCCGGGCCACCGGCAGCACGTCTGATCCGCGCCCGAGGCCCGACGGGATGACCCGCCGAGAGACCTAGCCTTACTCCGCGAGGAGGCCGCCGCGGCCGGGAGGAAGCGGCCGCGGGCCGCGGGGGTGGAGGGCCGCCCCCTACGGGGAAATCTCAAGACTGACTCGCGGGAAAAGCTTCGCAGGACGGCCCCTTCGGCCACCATCGTCCGGTAGAGCGGCGGGGTGTCCCCGTCCCCTCCGCAGGGGGAGGGAGGAACGAGGGAGGGCTCTCTCTCGTCCACGGTTTTCCCCGTCGATCGCTCGACGCCGATCCCGGAGGGCCGGCACTCTCTAGCCAGATCTCAGATAAGTCCAAAGTATAAGTCCAAGCGCGGCGGGGGAGGTGGAGGCGACCGGAGAGCGAGATGGATCGACCGAGACGGAGGATGGGGAATCCGGAGGATCCGGGAAGAGGAGCGACCCCGGGAGGGGGACGCGGCCACCTCCGCGTCGGCGTCTCGGCGCCGGCCGAGAAGAGGACGGACGCCGAGAGGGGCGATATCTCTCCTCGGTGATCGCGACGGCGATATGGACGCTACCACGGGGCTGCGGGGGGAGGAAACGGGTGGACGAGGGGGGCGGATTGCCAGTGCGCGCACGCGCGCGCGCGCGCGCCCAACACTTTGAATTTAAGGGGGACCCCTCGGGATCCAGACGATGCAAAGTATCTCTCCGTGCAAGTTTTTCTCTTTGCGAAAAAGACTTAGTAAATTATTTATTGGCAATATTGCGACTTGCAAGATTGCGAGTTTATTATTAAAGGGGGAGCGCCGGCGAGAGAGCCGTTTGCGCGAGCGAATGGGTGCGAGGGTGTGAGAGAAAGGGGAGAGAGAGGGGAGGAGGACGGGAGCGAGCAAGTCGGAGGGAAGAGGGGGGAGTCGGGAGAACGGGCCGAAGAAGCGGGGCGAGAGAGAGGGAGGGAGGAAGAGAGAACCGAAAATGTAGTGCCAAGAGCGACAAAAGAACTCTGTAAATATTAGGCTAGGTAGTTCAATATCGGTATAATAATTACGACTAAAAATGATATGCTACTACGTATCGATTAAAAGGTAAAGATCCAGCGGGCGTTGCTACGCGCATTATATATACGAGGTACACACACAACACACACACACACACGTGCGAGAGAGAGGCGACAGGCCGTTCGCGCGAGGAGCGAGGGAGCGCGCGAGCGAGACACCGGAAGTCGGGCCGGATCCTGCGGAAAGACCCGACGGATCCTGCGGAATTTTCTTTACGGTCGTCGCGAGAGGTCCGCGATGGGCCGACCGTTCACGTTTTAGTGATGGACGTCGCGGGCGTCTCTCTCCCTCTCTCTCTCTCTCTCTTTTTCTCTTCCTCTCTTCCTCTCTTCCGCGCGAATACCTCGGCGCCGACGCGCGCGACTCGCTCGCTTGCTCGCCGACTTCCTGCCTAATGTCTGATATAACGCTACTTTTATTATTATTCAAATAGATAAGGCCTCAGTTTTGACGAAATAGGACGAGATCTGCCCCGAGGACCTGTCGAGATGACGCGCGCCGCCTCGACGACGTTCTTTTCTCTTCTTTTCTTTTCTTTTTTATCTTTCTTTCTTTTTCAAATCTCGCGCCGCGCCTTCCAGTCTCTTCCGGGAGGCCTCGTCGAGCTCGGCCGACGGACGCGTCCCCTCGCCGTTGACTTTTATCCCCGGATACCCCGGGAAATTGGACTACGCCGATCGACAATTTGCGTTCAGTATCCGCCATAGTCTTGCGTATGGGAAATTACCCCGTTTACTGTGCCCCGGCGATCGCTCTAAGTCGACCGTGTCGTCGCGGAATTATTCCAATTAATATTCCCCGTAGCCGTGAACCACGCGGCCATGAATGAATCTCTTGAAAGTCGTTTCTAAATCTCTCTCTCTCGAGAAAAAAAAAAAAAATAAAAGAAATATAGGTGTCTCGAGGTTTTACGAGCTCGCAACTCCTTTGAATTTCTACGGAGATCATCGTACAGATGGTAATTTCGGCTTAGCGAACGCTGGGTTATGGTAAATTAATATTTAATCGTAATTAGAAAGGACTATTGCCGGCGTCCTGGCCCGTCATCCATAAACACCTTCCGCGTCGTCTCCGTGAAGCGAGGATAAAAATACGAGGTGTAATTCCTGTTTACCTTTACATCCATCACGTACCCCCCCATCATTGTACTAAAAGAATTACGGATATAATACGTGTATATGGAAATTACCACCGCGTCGCCAAGATCTATATAACCGAGATGTACATTCTATGGAGCCGCTCTTTTTACTCCGTATATTCTACTCAAATTCTACCGTATTACTCATTGGATCGTAATTAAAAAGTATGCTCCGTAGAGGGGGATCTCTTTCCGCGAGTGCTCGACATATCGCGTAGGTGAAACAATCGGTCAGGAACGTGTACACGGCACGCGTAAAAAGCTGTCGCCCGCGGGATCGGCGAGACACGCGTATCGCCGTGACCAATCCGAGTCGAGCGATAAACAAATTCCCTCGGCCAGACGTTTTGCAAAACAGTCCCCGGCGGATACGACGATGTTATCGAGCGAGCTCTCATTGCGAAAGTCGACCGCGAGGGGAATAAAGCGATCCCGGGTGGGAAGGCGGAAATTATCGCGGGCCGAGCTCGCGGGTCCCTCGGGGGAGGAGCTTATTAATTTAATATTTATAAAGATTCGCGATCCGTCTGCCACGTGGACGAATAGCTCTATCGAAGTAGGCCTTTACCCTTAGCGCCCGACAGGGCGGGGGTCGAAACGCCGTCCGTCGAGCAGGGATGCACGAATGCAAAGTACCTAGGGCGAGCCTCCCATTATTCCCGGGTTGAGGCGATGCGAAAGCGACATCCGAGGGGAAGGAAATTCCCATAGACCTCGAGACGTCAAACCGAGTCGGCTCGAGCCCCACCACGTGGTTGAGCTAGAAGGTGACGGCCAGGAAATGTCAAATTTGATGGAGTTCCCTTTTTTTATGTCTCTAAGCAAGTTTTTATTAATGACGGTTCAAGGGGGTTGGGACCTTCCCTGGGGCCTCCACGTCCACGTGGGGGTGGTTAGCCACGATAAGCACGATTAGGTACGGGGGGTAGATGTAGGGGTTCCTCGAGGTCGCTTTCGCGTCGCCTTCAGGGGAGGCGAGAGGATAAGACTTATCTCAGGTCCGGTCGTCGGGGCAGAGCGAACATTGAATTTATCCAACTATCTCACGAGAAGTCACACCAATTCATTCTAATCGGAGGGATTCATCGATAGGTAATAGGTCGAACGAAGGGGATGCAGTTAAGGGAGGGACTTCTAGCCGCGACTCGGTATATCCCGGTGCGATCTCGACGTCGCGAGTCGTCTGTTCGCCTCGGTGTTCATTCGATCGTTTCTAAGCTGAACGGCTCGAAGGCCGATAACGGTATCTACTGCGTGTGCGTTAATGAGTGCGAGATGAGCGAATGGGTATGCAAATTGCCGGATGAGCCTGGAGGGGCAGGATTTTGTAGGGCCGAGGGAGAGGGTGACTTGTCTCGATAAGACCGAATCCGTGTCCAAGCCGTTGTGTATTAGAAATTGGCGATCTTTGTACGGTTCCGTGTTGGCCGTGTGTTGCTGTTAGATGGTAAATCGAGCTGGAGGGTTATGAAGACTCGCGTTCCGAACTACGCATTGTCCTTAGGGCGTAATCGATCTTCGGGGAGGAGATACGTGTCTCGAAGGTACGGCGAGGAGGACGGAGGCATTGTCTAGGCAGTTCCACGCACGCGAGAATAGACTGCATTGTTCAACTCTACCCGGAAAATCTTGTAAGAAAAATTGGAATTAACTCTGTACATTCTTTGTCATGCGGTACCATTAGAGCTAATTGTCGCTCCTAGCTGCTCCGATGTCTACAAAGGATGCGTCCTATCTTGTTAAAAAAATTGGAAACAATTGCGAAGTGGAGGAGTAGCTAGGCGCGGCGACAGGAAAAACCCATTCAAGCTGAGCTGAACACGAAACTCTGTATATTCTTTGTCATGCGGTACCATTAGAGCTAATTGTCGCTCCTAGCTGCTCCGATGTCTACAAAGGATGCGTCCTATCTTGTTAAAAAAAATTGGAAACAATTGCGAAGTGGAGGAGTAGCTAGGAGCGGCGACAGGAAAAACCCATTCAAGCTGAGCTGAACACGAAACTCTGTGCATTCTTTATTATGCGGTACCATTCGAGCCGAAAAATATAGTAGACCGAGATGCGTGGTTGCAGACGCAATGCAATATTATAGGCGAGGGGAATAGGAGGGAACTTTGTGAAAGAAGCGCAAGGTCGGTCGAGGAACTGCAGGGATCCAACGCTCTCAGGAATTTAGATGATAGATGCTCATTCCTGGGATTATTCTCCGGGGCGTTTCAGTCTTTTTCTGGGGATTCGCGGATACGAAAACGCGCCTTTTCTGGGCCGAGGGAGGAAATAGCGCCGTTCGTTAATCTTGTACACCATCCGGGAATTACCGGCACGAGGTGACTTTTCCTCCCACGGTTGTACATTGGTGGTCGCGAGTGCCTTCCCTGTGATCATGGAATCCCCAATGCACGACGGGGAGGCACTCATGTCCACCAGTGTACACTCCACTATGTGCGACTTGTAGATTAAGAGCTGATTCTCCGCTCGTTTCTTTTATACTGTCCTATTAGATGTATTTGTGTAAAGACGAGTCAGCCGTTCCGTGCGAATAGTTTTAGAGGGCGGGGACGTTGTGGCGATTAGAAGCAACGTGTTATCATTTTTGTCGTGATCTCATTGGTCATAGGGTTATTAAATGCAAAGTGGTAAAAAGTGTTATACGGAGGGGCGACCAGTTCCGTTCCGTCTAGGGGAAAAACTTGACACTATTCTAGTCCCAATTATTAGCCCATCTCGGGATCTCCAGAGAAAGACCTTTTCGGAGAATACACTCTTGGTCTCGCGTCTTTAATCGAGCTGCTTTTCGTATCGAGGGAAGCAGGATAATCGGATCGGGAAGGCCGTCTCGGTTACGCTCGTTGATATGAGATAACGAAGGCACGCGTGGTGGAACGAGGGAACAGCGGGACGACTAGCGTAATTGTTGTATTTAATATTCGACGACGTGATCTTACGATTGTAATAAATATTAATTATTGTCGGTAGACGAACGAAACAAAGGGGCCTCGTGGCCCCATGGGTTCTGTGCAAGCCTCGGTTGGATTTAAGTGTTATCGAGTTAGATTGAATTATAAATTGATGATATCCGCGCGAACGATACGTTAAGCGAATGTAAGTCTTTCCTAGGGAATTGGTAGTGCGCTCGATTATTGTGATTTATTATTGAATATCGGTGGCACGTTATTGCGATTCGTTGATCGGACCTTGGGGGTTTCCGGCGGGCGTTATTATGATTAAATATAAATATAAATATATAAATATATATATATATATATGGATATATATGTACTATTGAGGGAGGTTTTTCGAAAGCGGCGAGACGGTTCACCCGCGGGGATTTTCTTTTTCTTCTTCTTGTTTTTCTTTTTTCTTTTTTGGAATCGAGAGAGCCGGCTTCGTCTTCGTCCAGGCGAATATCGATGGGTGGTGGGGAAAAAAAAAAAAAAAAAAAACCCGCGGGAAACCGGATGCCTCTCGCCTTTTCGAAATTGGTCTTCCGCCGTTGAGAATCTGAACGATTGAGAGTTTGTAGGAAAATTTTTTCGGAAAATGACGCCCGTCCTCGCCTGATAAACCCGTAGGGGCGAGTAACCTAGTACTGATTAATCCGGAAACGAACTCCCGTTGGTTTGCCGGGTCTAATATTGTGATTTCACGAGGTGTTCCAAAGAGATAACGGATAAAGAAGGAAAGAAAGAAAAAAAAAGATACTAAAGATTTTCGCTGTCGAACGTCTTTTATTTCGCGTTCGTGGTCGGTGATATACTGCTGTATGATTGTACGTCGTGTGCCCTTCGAACTTTGTCGATGTGTCGAGGACTAGCGCGCCATTCCGCGTCCTTTCCGCGGCGGGGAAGAATCGGAGACGCCTCGTATCCGCAGCCTTTAAGTAAACCGCTTCCCGGAGATTCTTTGAAACTCGGAGAGAGGGATCCGGGGGAAACTCGAGGCTCGACGATCTTCCCACCGCGTTTAGCTCCGTACACTGGGAGACATCGATGCCTCCCCGTCCTGCACAGGCGATGTCGTATCTGCAGGGGAGGCATTCGTGTCCGCCACCGCGCAGGGAACACTTTTCAACGAACGAGCGGTACTTCTTCCCGCACAAACGGGAATTTGGCCAATGACAATCCCACCCTGGCGTTCTATATTAAGCTGCGACAATATTATTGCCAACCGCTAACGACCGCTCCCACTCGTAATCCGGAATGCTTCCGATAAAACTCATGTCATTTCAAGGGCGCGTCACTTTTTCAACGGTACAGCGTGGACTTGCGATACCTCCTGTATCGGAAATTAATCCGAAGGGTTGGGAACCGCGCGGGCGCCATTTTGGAAATCGGATTCAGAGGGCGAATAGTCGTCCTTCGTCTCACCGTCGAGTTCCTCGCTTACTGGGAAATTAAATAGACGTTCGAAGGTACGGAAAAGGTCGGCCAAATTCCCGATCACCTCGCCGAGAAGCATAATATCCGCGAAGAGATGCACAGACCCGCGTGGCCCCGATGGTCACGCGCGAGGAATCCCCGAATCAAAATTTCTCGGACCATCCCCTCGAGACAACACAGTGGCTTATGCAAGTTAAATTGCAATAGAGTGAGTGAGAATAGAGAGAGAGAGAGAGAGAGTGAAAACGATTGAGAGAGTGTGTGTGAGACAAACGTTGTCGCGTTGTTCGAAACCGGTCAAGCGGCTGATTTTTCGATATTCGTCGGAGCGCCTTCGCGCCGAAGGTTTCGGACGTTTCGAGGAACTCTTTAAAAGAAATACAAAAAGGAGAAAAAAAAATAATAAAAATAAAAATAAACAATCGTAATCGATGTGTAGAGAACAGTGTCGTTTAAGTAGGTCGCTTCTACTATGCCTCGTTTTTCGGATGAGAGAGTGGAACCAAAATGGCCGCGAGCCCAACTCCGCGGATGCGAATTGCGAGCCATCTTCGGCGAAATCCCGGATTAAATCGGGAAGGGACCGCGAACGCCGACTCCAACGAGCTCTCGAGACTCGAACGCGTGTTATATGTCTAGGCGAAAATACTGTTTTTTAGGCGATTATTCATCCGAGGGGCGTTCAAGCTACGGCCGCGCGGCAGGTCACCTGGGAATCTATTCTCGAGATTGTACGATCAACATTACCATGCGAAATTCACATTTCTCTCTAAGACTTATAAGCGCGACTTTGCAACAATGTGAGATTTTGTAATACAAATCTACTTGTGTGGGAGAAAGATCGTATGAACTCGTGAATCGACCCCTAGGGGAGGGAAAATTGTTTTTTATACAGTAGAGTTGTACCACTACCGTACATAGAGGTGAAGAATGTTCGTTGTTCACTGCTCTGGCTTGCTAGAAAAGCATCTCGGGCCTCGCGGAGGCTGTTCGGACGTGGATCTGGACCAGAGAGAGAGAGAGAAAGAGAGGGAGAGAGACGCTCTGTCGCACGGGATTTCTATTCGAGGCGGCTCCGGACAGTCCCTTTCGTGCCCCGATCAATCGGCAACCATTTCGACATTGCAAGATTATTGGTGTACTTATCACGCAGTTTTCTACAAAATAAAGAAAACGATATTGAGAGAGAGAGAGAGAGAAAGAGAGAGAGAGAGGGAAAAAAAGAAAAGAAAGAGATGACATCGTCAAGGAGAGTAACTCACGCTGTCGAGTTTCACCCCCTACCGATTCCCATGGCCGACGTCGCCTTCGTCCTTTTCCTCAAACGAATTCCTGCGATAGTTCAAGAATATTCTGACAATATTATGTACACGTTTAATACTTATCGTGGGATTTAGTCATTTTTATTACGGGGAATACCGGTTGGATTATAGATGGGGAGGAAAGATAAACGGCGGGGGGTTGTCAAGGTTTACTTGACCCTGGGAAAAAAAAAAAATTGTATAGACGCATATGTTTTGCGGATTTCGCTTTTAAGGCATTTTCCATCTCCCCGCGAGCCGTCTCGTGGAATCTCGAAGACGTGGGCGACTCGTGGTTATTTTTGCTCCCGTGAGAATTTTTCTTTTTCACCGCTCGAGGACAATGCCGCGCGCTTTTGTTCCTCGTATTGGGAAATAACGCAGTGACATTGCCCCCCGGGAATTTGGCCGAGGAGAGAAATTTAAAATAAATGTTTCGGGGAAAGTACCATTTATGTCGACGACCTTCATCGCGGAGGAGTTTCCCATAAGAGCGGACGTTTTCACGTATACTCGCCGACATTCCGCATTTCCAGGCTGACAGAAGAGTGGGATTATCTACACGTTTTCTTCCGTATAAACAGGCGGTGCTATGGAACTCTGGAATTATCGACCGCGTCATTAGTGGAACTCATTCCTTCGTTACCGACGCAAATAGTTGCTTCTTAGGCAGGTGCCTCACTGAGCGCGTTGGGGGTCGAAGAGCGTCGCGTTCACGCGGTGAGGATATAAAAACAATTAGACTGAGCTTAACCTCACTTCCTTTGCAGTTCCGATTGGACTTTCATCCTTGATACGTTGCACTTCGTATCATATCCAACGCGCTCAAGTCGATCTTCGGTTTTACTCGATGTAAATCCAGTCATACATTTACACTAGTTTTACAAAATCGCGCGATCGCGTTCTGTGCTGCCCTCGGTGGAGAATACAGGCGACTAACGGACTTACCTCCAATGCCGGCCCAACATAGGGATCAAACTCATCTGTGTTCCCAATTTGTCTCTCAGCCCTCTATTGTAGAACTTTACCGTATCGCAGCGCTTAGGAGAAATAAGTGTAGGTGTTTTAAAACCCGGTAGAAACGCTATGGGCAAACCCACGGAGGAGTGCCGCAGAGCACCGCAGAGTGCCGTGTCAGCAATGGAACGGAGGGGGATTAAGTTCGGCACATTTCTAACAATTTTAGCGGTATTAGTTGGCATTTACTACCGCAGCCTGGAAAATCCTCTTCAGACTCGACTAACGGCGGTTTTAAAAGCCCTTGAAAAGGTAGAGAGCAAGCACGAGATACCTGTCAGACGTAAAGTCGCGATAGGTTATGGCATTTGCACTGACGTATACATTGACGCAAAGTCCTTATTGCATTATTCAAATGACATTGGGAATCCGGAGCATTTCGACGAGATAACCACTCGGGAACAGCTTTTAAAAAGTTTCGCGTATTACTTTCGTTATGGAGCCGCCGCGGAGTAAGTAAACATATTTGGTGGAAACATTTTTAAATGCCGTTCCTTTTTGGGCTAGTAGGAACAGTTTTAATGGTCGCACCATATGGGGGCATTGATTAATTTTTTCTTTCAGGCGGTACATGCCTAATACAACTTTGTTCGATGAACTGGTTTCCCAGGCACGTTCTTTTCCTTCGTCGTATTCAACGATCGGGGGGAATGCAGCAGTTATGGCATTTAGATTTCTTAGGGAGGGTTGCGACGTTATGTTGGCTGCCACGATGACTCAGTCGTTGCATCAAATGATTCCAGAAAGCATTAAGGTTGTAGGTGGCAGAGTCGATCGCGATGATACACATTTAGTACTAGAGTACAAAAACGGCGAGTACTGGGGCCCTTATTCGAGCGTAAGGGCAAACAGGTATTAGCTTCTTATTTAATATTTTTTTTTTAAGCAAGGAAAATGGTTAAAGTCCAATTTCTTAACGAGAGTTAATTTTATATCTCTTTTGAACAATAATGTGGTATAAATTCTTATAGATCATGTATATTTCAGATATATAATTCATAACGATGTCAATAATCCCATGGTCAGCTCATTGGATGAGTTCGACACGTTGTTAACGGAATCTAGGCCTGATTTGTTTGTTGTTAGCGGTCTTCAAGTAATGGATAATTATCCTTATGTTGAAGGTAAAATAGTGCAGATTATACTTAGCATTCTAAATTATGCTTTGCACATTGAAATGATATGACCATCCCTTTTCAGGTCAACGTCGCGATTTGTTATTGAAGATAAAGAAACAAATGATTAGTCAGTCAGAGTCGACTAAAATTCACTTTGAGATGGCCTCTTTTGTCGAAGAAAGTCTTCTCTCTGACTTAATTAACCTTCTGATCCCTTATACAGACAGTTTAGGTATGAACGAACAAGAACTAGCCAATTTGTACAGTTCCATGTATTATGGAAACATTTCACTAGTAACCAACTCAAATCCACGAGTTGCTACCGTTCTTGATCAGATGAGAACGTTATTGAAACTGATGTGGGAGAAAGGACAGTCTTTTGAGAATGCCAGAAAACTATCAAGAATCCATGTGCATACTTTAGCTTATCAGGCAATTTTAATTGTAAAAAATTCTGCCTGGCAGAATCTCATAGCAGCTGCTGCCAAAGCATCACTGACAGCAAATCGTCATGTTTGTGGATCCAGTGACGTAAGTAGCATATAATGATACCAGTTTAAAATTAATTTTTCTTTCATCTCTATTAATTCACCTTTGACTATGCAAAGGTTGATCTTCACAAAGCTGCCTTGATTATGGATGACAGTTTCTCAACGTCAATCAAGAATGGAAAGAGAATACCATTTAATGTAGATAAACCAGTTTCCTGTTGGGAGGAACTGATTAAATGTAGTGGAGATACTGTTGTCGTTGAAGTGTGCGTAGCACCAGTTCTGGTGTGTACGAAGGCTAGTCAAACCGCTGGTGGCGGTGATAACATTTCAAGTGCTGGTCTAGTGCTCCAGATTTGAGTCAATTAATTGACATTCTTATGATGGGAATTTTATACATTCCTTCAAGTTATTTTACTTGCCTCAATCCTCTTGGCGAAAGTACTGAAAAACAATTTCCATATACATGCATCCAGTGGAACACTGTTTTTATTAAAAAATGATAAATCTATCATGATATTCAAATATAATCATTCCAATTTGAAATTGAAAGGTCTAATCGTGTTTTCAAGTAGAATAATGAAAATGTATTAAGGGCTACTAGTATGTTGACCAAAGGAGACTTTTCAATTTGATATTAACAAAGCATGGAACATTTTGTGAATACTTCCTACTCAATCTAGAAATCCATCCGGCTCACCCAATTTTATATTTTCTGTACACCAATTAAGCTTAATTCAAAGAGTACCGATGTAAAAAGAAGTCGAAAGAATTTGTTCACACAATGTTCCTAATTGCTTTGGCCATTTCTTGTCCTTTATTGAATGCAAACGTAAAGTTGCTAGATATTAATTACGTCAAACAGGTCATGTATGAATGGCAAGTGGATAGTACTCGTGGAAGTCTACTTCGAAGGAATTATATCACAGACTATACGACGTCTAGTCTTGTATTTTTCGCTGATGTATGACGTAATGTAGGTACATCACATCTTGAAGATTTATGCAATTCTCGGTTTTTATTTCCTTGACAAGTGTATGGAAAACGACGTTCATGTCTGACTATTTGTTCTTACTGCAGCGTGCAGTATTAACACAGGCTGTATAATTTTAATAGTAATGTATTGCTATAAATAATTTGAAATGTAAGGTAAATTAATGAAGATTAGGTTTACGCCAATGTCGTACTTTAGAAGTTTCAATGTGATATGTTAAAAAAAAACCAGTTGATGGTAGAATACAGTTGTGTTCAAATGTTAATTTACACAGTACCTCAAACGAGTCACTATCGCTGTGCCTCAATTGTCACTATTGTTATACCACTGTTGGATATATTTACTGGATTCTATGGCATCATATAAAATAGTAAGACTGAATAAATGTCCATTCCCACCAATTAAGTATACAATGGTTCCATTTATTTGTCACTGTTCGGATGGGTAGATATTACAACGTAGCGGTAAAAAAAACTACCATAACGAGGTTAACCACAACTAGATCAAACTGATATGTTCAGGGCCTTTACAAGACTTTCCAAGAGGTTCCCGAGGTGTGAGTACAGTAAAAGATCGCATTCACACTTTCCACGAGTTATATCTTTTATTATTCATCTGGGAAATTCACTGTTTAAAAGTACCAAGAACAGGACATTATATGGTATAGCCATGAATACGGAATGAACGGAATTAATGAAAAAGCAAGTAAGACCGGTGTCAATATTTGCTGATCAAAAAGAGGCATTTACCCCGGGAGACTCGGAGGACGACTTCCGTTAGAACTATACACCAAAACTCTGAACTACTTGAGAAAAATGGGATAACTACAATTTGGGCGAAATTCTCGATGCTAACGTTAAAACCACCTCGTAAAACAACGCACTTTCAATCCAAAGAACAGCCAAGTTGGAGACCACGTTTTGTAGCATATTGTGTGTGGAATGTAACGTTGCACGTTGTCATCCAATCGAAGCTCCCTATTTTGTGGCACATCGATGATATAAGAAATATAACGGATACAGTGTCCTCTTTATAAGACGGTGTTATTCTTGCCGATATTAAGCACTTCAACACATTTCCTGCACAACTTGTAAATACCACTTGGTCACACGAACCAGTATTCGTGCTCTGACACATATATCTTGCAACATCTATGCCTCCACGAGAAACTTATCGGTACACTCGAGTCCGTATCCAAGGCTGACCAAATACTGAAATCCTATCCGTCATGGCACGTCGAAAGAGCGATACAAAATATTCCAAACAGCAGCTTCCACTAATCCTGCCGACATTCAGAGCCTTTCATCGATCACTAGCAAACCGTTAAAGTTCTCTTGGGAGCAAGAAACCTTCCTTGCACTAAGGAATAATACTTTTTCCAACTTTACCGAATGCGTCAGAATAGATTCTAATAACTCTTGCAGGAATCGGTCCACATCCTGGAATTCGTGGCCAAGGTGGCTCATCACATCGGGTTTCTCCCTTCGTGGCACTCAGAGAGGCAGACGAAAACATAAGAATAAAAGGTATCCCCTTACAGGATAGTGTCTCCCTCGTCGATGCCAAGCATCCTGAGGTCATCGGGTCCAGGTTGTGTGTCGACTTCGGCCTCAGCTTGGGTGATCTCCGGAGGAGGCTGATCCATGTATTCCGGTCCATATCCGACACATCCCAACATACTGTACATAGAAGCATAAACCACTCCACCGTTCTCCTGGTGACTTTGCTGCTTGGTCTCGGTCTCTTCCTTGGGGAAGATGATATTCAGAGCCTCCTGAAGATCATCTGGCAGAGGGATACTAGGGTCGGGCTTCTTCTCCGTAGGCTCCGGGATCTCGGAAACGTCGTGCACCGGAGTGTCCACTGGCACCACCGGAGGCATCGGTGGAGGATGGTTGGGTACAAACGACACCGGACAAGGTGGATATCTGTTAAGAACAGGCGCCGGGAACGCAGGTGCCGGAGTCCTGATGGGAATAGGAATCGGTGGAGGCCTATTCGGCGTGAACTGAGGCGTCCTGGGAGCCATAGCCGGAGGTTGAGCACTTGGCGTGTACGTGGGCGGTGGTCGGTTCATGGGCGGTAACTTGGGCACGGGCTGAGGTTGCTTCTGCTGCTCCACGATGGGCTCCTCGATGATCACGTCCTCCGACTGGTCCTCTATCTCCATATCAACGACCTGGGGAGTAGGCACGGGCGCCTTGGTCTCGTGCAAAACCGGCGGTGGAGGGGCCACGAGGATCTTCATCTGCTGCTGCACCTTGCTCACCTGGGTCGCGTTGTTCAAGGGGAGAGGGGTAGCCAGCTTCGTGATGTGCACCACCCCGGGGGGATTGATGATCTCGCTGGGCACCTTGGGAGTGTCCTCGAACTTGCTCTGCGAGTAAGGGAGAGGCGCGATGTCCTTCTCGGTCTTCGGCTCTTCGGTCTTCTTCTTGAAGAGCGGTAACCTGCCGATGAACGGCAGCTTGCCCTTCGCGGTCTGCGGGGGAGTCTTCTTGGCTGGTGGGCCGCCCTTCTTCGACTTCGAGGCCGACTCGTTGGTCTTCTTCTCGAACTTAGATTCATCGTTCGAGGAGTTGTTCTCCTCCCTCCGGTCCTTGCCGTAGCGATCGTAGCCCCGCTTGGGACTCTCTCTCCATCCCCGGTCGCTCCTTCTCGGCGAGTCGCCGCTTTCTCTCTTTCTGGGCCTGTCCTCGTAGTAATCCCGTTCCCGGTCCCGGTCGTGATCCCTGTCCCTGTCTCGGTCCCTGTCCCTGTCCCTGTCTCTGCCGCGCCTCTTCTCGTATCGGCCGCTCCTCTCGTACCTCTCGTACTTCTCCTCCCGGCGGTCGTACTTGCGCTCCCGCTCCTCCTTGTACCTCTCCCTGTCCCTGTCCCGGTCCCGTTCCCTGTCGTCCTCCTTCTCGCTCGGGACCTTGCTCTCCGGGGGCTTCACCGACATGTTGACCTGCTGCTTCGTCCAGAAGCCCATGTGTGGTTTGGGCATCTCCTCGGGCTTCGGGATCTCGATGGGTTTGGTGGCCATCTGCTGGCTGGTCGCCGGCTTTTCCTCTTCCTTCTTTATCCAGAAGGACTTCGGGGGCTCCTTTGGACCCCACGCCTCCAGGTCCTCCTGCCCCTTCGCGTACGAGTTCTGTCTTCGCTCCTCCTCCTCCTCCTCTTCCTCCTCCTGTTCCACGGGCTTGTCCTGGCTCTGCCTGCGGTTCCCCACCTTCATCTCCTCCTCCTGCTTCGCCTTCAGCTTGTCCCTGATGGAGTTGAGAAGCTGCCGGTCGTCCACCTCCTGAGAGGGAAGCTCGCTGGCCTGTTTCGGTTGGCCTTGCGTCCAGTGCCCCTTTAATTTGATTCCGTGATAGTCTATCTCCTCGTTCAGGATCGCTTGGGTAGACGCCTTCATTTTATTTCTCATAGCTACCCTGATGCTCCTGGACATGTCCTGGTCCGAGTCGGACTCCGTGTTCTCCGACTCGCTCGAGGAGTCGCTGGCGCTGCTCCGATTCCGCCGTTTTTTCGCCTTCTTCTTGTTCTTCTTGTTCTTCTTAGACTTCTTCGACTTCGTAGGCGGGGGCTCGTCCTCCTTCTGCTTCTGTAGCTCTAGCTGCATCTGCTTGTGCTTCTCCTCGGAGAATGCCTTCTCCCGGTCGGCCATCCAGTCAGTTTCCCAGTGGGGGTTCTGCTCCACGAATCGCTGCCGAGAGGATATATCGAAGATCTATCACGGGGAATTATGTAAGGATGAAAGACCAGGGAGAAATTGGATTAACTTACGGAGAAATTCTCGGAGTGCCGTTTGGACTTCAGGTGCAGGCTGGCGCAATGCAGGTCGCCGATCCAGGAGTCGCAGAGCTTGCAGTACCAGGCTGTAGCCGCGCTGAAGAATTGCAGCCCTATAACCCAAAATTCACGGAATTATGGTGACCCGTCCGTTGTAGTCGGCAAACAATCGTAAGTTCATAAAGAATGACCTTGTGCTCTGCCGCAATGCATTCAAGCGACTGAAAAGATAAAGAAAACACATTAAAGTCTTTTCACGATATTCGAGACCGTGGATCCGATCCTTCGATAAGGGTTCCCTGTTGTCACCTGGAAAAGGACGTAGGATCCTGTTGCCTTTATTTTTCTTACATCGAGTTTACAGCTTATTCGTAATAATTGTGTAATCATTGTAATACAAGAGGTAACACGATGTAACATAATTTGCTCAATCCAAACATACCATAATTGCCTGACGCTCGAGAAAGGTTTGAATTTTAACGAGACCCTGATATATAGGAAAGTCAAATGATTAAACAACTTCTTGTTGTGAATGGATTATCAAGCACGTATGGTATGTCTTTACAAAAGCGTTATAATTTTTAAATAAAATTCGCATCTCTTTAACGTTCCGTTGTAATCAGGTAATCACGAGATAGGAGAATCTACTCGACTTTGTCATCGAGCGTAATGATACATTTGTACATTATTGTAGTTGTTTATGGACGGTTAGTTTTAAACAAATAGACAGCGTCGCTACTTGCATACGGACATGGTACGCCCTTTGTCCGAGCCCTAATTAATATATCCCTGATGGAAAACAATTTCTTGCAAGTCTCTTCTCCGGCTTGTTGACCTAGAGGTGTGACAATCGGCAAGAGCAACATCCACGAGGTGAGGAGAAATATACGAGACAATTGTGAAAGAAGTGATAGCTGAAAATATTCCTGCAAAAATCTCCTTCCGAATTCCACTTGGATTCCGATGGGCCTGCGGTTTTGGGAGTGGCTCGCAAGAGAGTGCGAGGCAAAATTTCTTACTACCAACATTCGAGTATATTTTATTAACTTGACACTGCATTTAATCGATCACTTGTCCTCTCCAATAATGACCCCAGAAATTCATACTCTCACAGGAGAATAATTAATGATAATCCTAGTAATTTTTCCTTTTTTTTTTAATACGAGATGTTAACAATCGCATGTTGTAGCAAAGAAACTTTTCCCCACCCGCGCTTGCCCAGACTGCTTCTTCAATACATACCAGACACCACAGTGTCAGTGCGCAAGCTACGGAATTGTACTCTATTAGTAATGATCCACCGGTAATAAACCATACCTTTAATTGGAGTTCTTTTCGTTGGCAGCCCAGGATAATACGGCATTTCCTTCTCGGTTCCCTCTCCGTTCCGCTCGTGCCATGGCATGTCGACGATCTTGCGCTCCTGTCATGTTAAGCAACAAGTTAATAACATTTTATAAGATAATTATTACGGTCGAAAGAGTGAAGGAATGACTGACACATTGCTCAAACCCTGTGGCTACTTCGGAGAGACTCGGTTAAAGTTCCTATTTCGACCTTCGGACGATTTTAAATCACAGGTAAATAATTATTGTACAGCGAATCATGGTCGGTGTATTTGGGAAACACACGTGACGACGGGCTGACAATTATTCACCTGTCATGTAAAATATTTAGAAGGTAGGAAAATTGCTCAAATTGGTTTCCGTTGACTTGCGCCAAGAATTAAGCGCTTCATCACTTCCTATGTATTATTGATAGCTTTTAATCAATTCTCAATTAAATCAATTTCGGTTATCGGAAGAAAGTTATATGAAGTCACACGAAAGGAGGAATATTAGAAGGTGAGTCATGGACTTACCAAGCAAGTTTCTTTGTGCTCATTGCTATGAAGGTGATTTAAGTATTCCTTAGCCGTTTTAGGAAAGATATCGCAGACTTTACACCAATGCATTTCAGGATCATAGTGGACAAAATTATACATCGGCTTGTCCTCCGGAGACCTCTTGTCCGCTTTGCCATCCTTGTCCGACTCCGGAACTGACAATCTGTCAGGAGACACAGACTTCCCTTCGGGAAAGTCTTCTTTAGGACTTCTCGAATGCTTACTAGCTTCTAATTTATACTTGCTCTTAAGGTCTTCGACGGTGGCTTTGTCTCCAATAATACCCGTGAGCATATCGATCACATTGTGTATTGACTTCATCTTATTTTGGATTTCAATCTGAAATTAATTCATCCCACCTTATTTCTACAAAGTCCAAGGCAAAGTTTAAAATACAATTTCATTCATAGTACACACCTGAAGCTTTTGATTCTCCTTTACGATGCGGTTATTTTCTCGACCGCCCTCCTTGCCTATTTCATCACATTGCTGCCGTAAGATTTCTAATTCGCGCTGCAACGTTGTTGATTTCCTGACGTACTCCTCCCGTTGTCTAGCCAATGTCGCTTTCTGTTGCTTGACTTCAGCTGCGATTGCTGTTAATTGTTTCAGTTGGAAGAAATGTTATGATCGCGTCAAAAAGATTAATTAACGTGCTAATGTCATTTCCAAAGCAAATGTCATAAAAAGAAACGGATTAACATATCTCTACTACTTTACACAAATAAAAAAGTTACCTTCTTTTTTGGCATCCTCGGGTCGAGGTACAGGTGGTGCCATAACTGCTGGACTGGGCTCGACTGTTCTTGACGTATCCTGCTGTGTCGATAGATTAGGCGGTGGCGGTGGCTGCTGACTTGCATATGGCACTTGATTCCCTTGCCAGTTCTGAGTAGAATAATCCTATGAAAGGAATGGTTTAATTAACTCTTCTATCATTAAATATATTCATCGTAAAACCTTACCTTTTGGCTTCTGCATTGATATCAGGATTTTGGATAAAACATCAGCCGTTCTTCGGGGCGAAATGACCGATCAAATATATTGATTTCCTTATTATCGGTGTCAGTAAAATAAATAACGCGAATATATACTTACTGGAGACTTTGTGATACGACGATACAAAAGTAACAAGAGTCATTTCAGTGGACAAACACTACCAAATGTAAAATAGTAATGTCGTTTAAATGTAGCTTTCCGACATTTCAAGTTATTTTAAGTACACATGTTTATGCATGTATATACAGGACATAGATTATTTAAATACACATATTAATGATAGCGACACAAGGTTCACTAAAAAGTGCCATAGTTTTAACGATCCCATCAATTATTTTAAATAATGGCATATTAAATACGTCCCGTTGAGAAGTTCTGTCTCATAATGCTTGAGGTTATGGTCTACTATTACTAGAAACATTCCGGGTACAAAGCTTAATTGAAATCGATATTGGTTGCCATTTTATACCCAGAATAAAGACAACAGATGCTTAAATGAATTATGTGTCAACTTACACTGCGATATCCTGAAGGCTGTTGGTAACCATAATCGTAACCTTGATTGTAGTTGTAGCTGTAGTTATTATAGCCTTGGTTGTATGCAGGCAATGGTGGTGGAGGTTGGCTTGTATTTGGAGGTCCGCTCTGAATTAAATATTGATTAAGTATAAAATACGAAAACTATACGAAATAAGGAAACAAAGAATAATACCGGATATTGATTATGAACCGAAGTCACATATCCTGCCGATGGAGCGGTGTTGTTCGCCGAGGCTTGTCCTTGTGCCGGGGTTGCCTGCTTCCATTCTTGTTGCCTACTCGATTCCTTTCTTCTCCGCTCTCTCGATGCTGATCTAGATCTTCGTTCCCTTGATCGCGATCGCCGATATCTAGATCTCCTAGGAGACGGAGACCTATCGTATTTTCTTGATCTTCTTCTGTGCGAAGAGTCTTCTGAATCAACGCTCGGACTCCGTGGGCCTTTCCTTCTAGATTCTTGCTCCATATTCGCCTCCAGAATTACTCTTTAGCTTTATTAAAAAATATAACAATTGAAATCCACATAATATGCAAAAAGTCTAATATACATTGCACAGGTACATTATAAAATCGAGGTTATCTCGTAAAAGAATTGTCAATAAAAATGTTTAATCAATAAAGGGCACTGTGATATCGCAACACTGACGCGTTTGAATGTTCTCTCAATAGGTCAACAAAAGTTAATACATTTTACATCTGAAGAACGATCAGACAGCCCATGGAAAGTAATTGTTCTTTTCGGAATTTCAATCGTGCCAAGGCGTTACCGGATCCATGTGAAAATGTGTAAACGTAGCCTCGATGCGGCCATTATTCGCTCACTATTAAAGAAACGATTTACTATCTGAAGGGATTTCTTTGTAAATATATAAAGTACCTGTTGTCGTGACCAGTCAATATGCGTCCTTAAAACCCGTTATCATCGAACACCTTTCGGTTTATCGGCGAATAAAGCACTAAAAACTTTTTATTCCCCGGTGGCAACCACGTTCCGCGAAATTACGTACATTCGGAAGAAAAGCCCAAATGTGATAGGTTTGCGAACGGAAGTCGATGAATATAGCTATTTCCAGAATGGCGACCGGAGGTTAAGAAGAATAACCTAGAGTTAGTTCTAACGTAATAGCGCTGTATGCAGTGAAGAGGTTAGAGTTTCGAACATAACTAAAGTCTAAATCTCATCGAATACGGCGAGTGTCTCGCTGTGATCAAAGTTACGAGCAGTAATTGAGTGAAAATCTTTTCATGTGCGAATGAGATTGTGTGAGGAAAAAATGGCGGAATCAGGAAACAGTCTATTTGACGTTTGTTTGAAAGGAACTGATACTGTGATTACGGAGATCGGATCTCTTGGAACCTCCTAAGAATGAGGCCACAACACTTGTGATAAGCATGCGACTTAGGTTTGTCAAGATATTGCTGGTGCTCGCATTACTGGGAAGTATAATAGTCTGGCACAGAATATGGAGGTTATTCACGGCGCAACGAGCGCTTCAAGCTTCGACGCCGGGCGTTTCGATGCCGGAGGTGCCCCAGAAGTTCCATCATCGTCTAGCACGTCTCGTTACTGTCATAATACGACAGTTCGAGACATTCGAGAACGACGTCGCTTCCACGGTGGAGTCTGTTTTAACCTCCTTTCCTACGGTACCGATATTGATAGTCTGCGATGAGCTACCTTATCCTCCGCTGGAGCTGGACTTTGCTAACGAGAGTATGCGGAACGTCAGGCTCATCAATTTGCAGCCAGCGTTCAACAAATCTTTTGAGGAACGGAATCCTTTGTCGTATATTCGCACAAAGTTTGTATTCTTCTTGCCCGATGCTACAAGGCTGACAACAAGACAAGTCATACAGGTAATTCCTATCTCAAGTCCTATCTTAGGTTATGATATAAAAAAGAATTATATTTATGTTATTAAGCTATTTTTAATTTTACAGGATATTATGACATATGTAACTAAATTTGGAGCAGTAGCAGTTCCTGTCGGAAAAGGTTCCCTTAATTGTCTTGGAATGGGATTAAAAGTGAAAGAGTGGACATTGAGATTAACTACCATTGCCGGGACAGAATGTGATGCAGTAATGGGTAAACATGCCACAGCGATGGAATCAAAAACGTTAAGAAGACTTTCGGATCCTTTTTTGTTACCATTTACCGATGCAATGTACGTGCAAACTACAGCGCTTGAAATAAAGGTATGTATCAACTGCATTATATAACATTTTTTTTATAAAACTATTTTAAACAAAAATGGTTCATGGTTATACCGATTGTTATTAGATTCACATAATGAAAAACCACAGATTCAATGAGGGCAAACCTTTGTATCGTAGTCATCAGGCTCAGTGGAGAGTCCAGCAGCTTCAGCAAAATCGTGAAAGAATAATGTTTGAAAAGTTAGGTATAAAGAAAGTAACAAGAGCGTCAAATACAGTTGAATGGTATGGATGCTCAAGAGAAACGATTCGATGCTTTGGGCCGGTCATTAATGGTGTACCCTCTTACTTATATCAGAATCGATATACTCCACCTTGTTGTCTTGCTGGTTTGAGAAAGGTGGCACATCACGTAATTGATAAGCTGGAAGAGGTTGGTATTCGCTTCTGGTTAGAGGGAAGTTCGTTGTTAGGTGCTATGAGAAACAATGACATTCTACCATGGGGACACGAAGTTGAGATAGGATTTAATCGTGACGACATTATGAGGTCACCCTGGTTAGTTAAGGCTCGAAATAAACCAGTTGTTGATAACCATGGCTTTGTATGGGAGAAAGCCACCGAAGGTGAATTTTTCAAAGTACAGTACTCCAAATTAAATCGTTTGCACGTGAGTTTATTGCCCTTTTACGCCAGGAATGGGACAATGATAAGAGATGCGTGGTTTTTAAAGAATCGAGATTTTCCTGAGCAATTTCTTCACCCGATGTCGAATATAGAATTTGCAGGTAGACAAGTGCCCAGTCCAAATAACATAAGAGATTTTCTAGAACTGAAATACTTCAAGGGTGTGGTAGAGAATCCCGAACTGCCCGGTAAAATTACATTCGAGTAGTTCTTATGACACTTTTTGTCCCTTCGAGGCTATCCAATTGCTACTAGTCTTATGAATTTTTACTCAATGGCTTTAATAATATTAGCTGTATACAAGTGAGCCAGCTAAGCTTGAAACAGTTGCATATTTTTTACGTGTATGCATAATTATTCAATTTAGGTTTCTTTATGCATACATCTGTATACATTTAAACTTCTAAGATCTCGAATTTTGTTTAACAAAATGATTCCTTCTAATTTTTTAAGTACTGTTCTTGCTGGGTGAGCGCTCCCAAAATTACCCAGCTTTTTGTAATATTTTGTAAAATATTACGAAGGAAATAACTTGTTGCATAGTTCTTACGTAAATACTCAAGTTATATTATAATAAATATATATATATAATATATACTATATTGTAAATGTTAATGCGGTGCCAAATAACGTCTCAGTACTGTTAACCTCATAGAACTCAGAAAGACTGTTTTTCTATTCTAAATAAGTTCCAAATACCAAGTTTCACTTGATTAGTCATTATTCTTAGCAGTATCCGATAAATATTACAAGATGGCTGTTCATAATTTCCTGTTCATGATTAGTAGCAAATATGTGATGCAAGCATTTAAAAAAAATATGCATTAATTTCTTTTATACGCAGTTTACATTATTCGCATCCAATAAGACATAGGAATTTTAATATGGTACTATACCAGATTATGTAAAACGAAAATGAACTTTTGAGATAATTATACAAAGCTACGACATAAAAGTTATAGAGGAAATTTGTATCGTTCACAAATTCTTCATAATCTCTATACTCCTCTAACAATTATTCTACGTGTTTTCCACAGTTTAAGCCAGAATGGAATTATTTACAAGTTATTCTCTTAAACTAGAAGAGAACGTTTATATAGATTGCACTAATAACCAAATATGATCTACAGCTCAGATAATCGTAAAGATTTTTTTCATTATCATGAAATACGGCTCAGTAACAGATTCCTTTAATAATGTGATATATTTTACATTTTTCGAAGAAAATCAAAAGAAGTGCGTTAAGAAATGATCTTTGTAGATAGTTCGACAAAGTAGTAAAAGCGTAAATATACGTATAATACATTGTCCGAAGTGAATGTATAGGGTAAACTTGGTTATTTATACTTGGAAAATAAATTCAAGAATACTTTACTATATATAATATAAAAAGTGCTTTATGCTTAAATAATATATAAAGAACTCAATATATATGTATATGTATATATCAAGGTTAATACCAGAATTTATTTAGATCGTTCTGGCATGTTTCTTAGCCAGAACACGTGTTAAGGAAATTTTCTTCAATAAAGTGTATCATTGTTACCGATCAACTGATTTGCATTTCTTAAGGCATTGAAGTGATCTATTTCTCTGCTTTGTTCGATGTAGGATTTTCAGAGGCAGCAAAGAAGGAAGGCTCCCTCACATAATTTAATAATCTTTCTAGTTTCATGCTCTCCAACTCAAATGGTGTTAAATGAAGTTGCTTTTTCGTCGGTTTAACTTTTATGCGCAGATTTGGTGACAATTTCATCGCGCTTACCGTACCTCTGCAATTGAAACATTGTCAGGTGTCGCTTATCCGAATTTTGAATTAATGGAAGTTATGGAGAGAATTGCATTTACTTGTCATCGCCGACAATGATGAACGGCAACACGTCGTTGAACTGCAGCCTCGTTAGTTTATTCTTCTTTTTACTTACAATCGGCTGAGAACAGATTGGCCTGTATTTGTTAACATTTAAATCGAATACCGTAACTTTGCCATCGTTTGTTACACAGGCAAGTACCGTCGAGCTGTAAGGTGCCCATTGTACGTCACCAATCGGTACACCAAGATCGAACATGAACAGAGGCTCCCTGAAAATGTAAAATAGAAATCAGAAGAAGTAGAATAAGATTATTCCTGTACTCCTCACTTACGGTCGGTCATCTTCCCATATCTTGATTCTCCAATCTCCGGAACAGCTTGCAAATATGTTTGAATTATATTTATTAAAAACTATTCTGTAGATAGGCATGTCGTGAGCTTCGTCGTATGTCTTCATGTATATGCTACTATACGCAGTGTTGCATTTGTAAATCGATCCTTCCTCTGTTCCGACCAAGAAAATGTTATTGTCTGCTGGATGAAATGCAAGACACGTTCCGCACCCTGTATAGAATAATATTGATCGTACTTTACTTATGAATTAAAATCTGCGTTTAGGGAACGGATAGCTCCAATATTATTTACCTTTTAATGTAATCATCGTACCGTCTGGTCCTGGTATGGGAGGTCTATCAAGGAACAGAGTCATTATAGTATTCATACCAAGATCATTTTGATTTAAAATCCAGTGGTTTATTTTACCATCTGTACTGACACTGTAAAACATCAAATTTCCTTCGTCCGTATCAGGAGCCCATCGTACCTAAGTTATTATGTAATGCTTATAAAATCAATGTTATATCCGTTCATCGTGATTATTGTACTATGTATTAAGCTGGTATAACAGACTGAATTACGGAAACCGATGTATCTATTCGATAAGATATCGGGCAGAGACTTGACATCTTTTCGATCGAGAACGGTACTCACTTCCCACACAATTCCTCTATGTTTCTGAAGAACGTCGTTGCTTTTATATTGCGGTGAGTTTGGGGGTAACATAACATTGTACACTGCTACCGATCCATCCATGGTACCTGTTATATGGTATCGGACATGACAATTTAAAAGCCTTTTAAAGTTAACTTATTATATAAATTTATTTACTGTACCGATAACCAGAAGGTGTGGATGTTGTTTGCTAAAGTCCAGACACATCACCGGGGATTCTGTTATGCATATCCATTCAGGGTACGATGGGTTTTTCAAACTAAAGAGGCACACCGTTCCTGTTGTCACTGGGCTGTCAAATGACACTGAAACCGTTTGGATACTGGTAATTGTAGTACATTTTATTTACATAAGTGCAGTGACAATTTGCTAACTTGCTCCGTAAGCTACAGCGAAGAAGTCATAGTATCGACTGTTGAAACACAAGTCTGTGATGTCGTGTTTTTTAGTCTTCTCGTAGCTGAATTTCCACAGAGGTAGAAGTGAACCTTCTCCATCCTTAAACTCATCACTTGGATCGTCCCAATACCTATAATCTATATAATTATAATTCGTCTTATCAACGTTAAATATTTTCTTTGTTACTCCCAGATTTTTTTATTGAGTAGTGAGTGTACGTACCTTGTAGAATATCATCAAATATGTTCTGATTTACCATCCTCTCCAAGGTCTTCGCAGCTTGCAGCATCCTCTCCGATACTGCCAGTGCTTCCATTTGGGACTTTTTCTTTGATTCGTCTTTTTTCGGTTGTATCATTGGCGCCTTCCTTTCCTTTTCTTTTTCCTTTTGTTGTTGCGCAAAGTCTTCCTGTCAAAACTTAATTAGTTAAATATCTATTCCGTCGATACAAAGTGAAAAGCTCGGCAGAATTTTGCGCCAAATTACATACTTGGTACTCATCGAAAATAATCCACTGAAAAACATGCGAGTTGAAAGTTCCCGTTGGCGGTGGTACTGTTTGTGTGCACATATCCTAGATCAGAAAGATATTAAAATTATTTCGATCCTACTTCTAATATTTTCCTTTATCCTTTTTTTCATTACTCACGCGAGATGGATTGTTATAGGTCAGTGCTCCTCTCTCACAGAAGTTAAACTGGTTTGGTAACTTCTTCGGTGCAGATTTTTCACCTTCAGGCTCTTCGTCAGCTTCAGGCTCTCCTTCGGCACCTTCTTTAACCTGCTCTTCCCCTTCGCCTTCTTTTTCTTCTAAACCAAATAACAACCCATTTAGAACCATGCAGATTAATATTGTTACCTTATTACTTATCTATTGTTATCGATGTTATTAATATTACCTCCTTCGTCTTCCTTTTCCGTCACACCTTCATCTGCTTTTCCTTCTTCGGTGTCTTCAGGTTCGGATGGTTTCTCAGTTTCTGCTAAATGGAAAAATTAACTGTCACATATAAAGAAATTTAAGTACTTCCCTAAAAACAATGGAAATATTTAAATAAAAATAATCAGTCCTTTGGAGGGCTATTAATTATCCTTTATCGGAACACTCACTGACGATCCCACCTGCCATTTGAGTTTTTGCTTCCTCTGAGTCTTTTAGCAGTAATGTACCAGGGATACTGAGCAGTGTTATCAAGTTTGGAGGATTGGGTAAAAGTACAAAATCTCGGAGCTTCCATGACCATTCTACTAATGAATCCGGAACTCTTGTATTGTGCGTCATTAACACTCTTGCATATTCTTCCTTCAGTTCCTATAAAATATCATTCGACCAGTTATTAAATTCTAGACTTTTGACAAACAGGAATTAGTTTTTGACTGAGTAAACTTACATCTTCACTCAGCTGAAGCTGGTCATCGGGTTTGAGAAAAATTTTTCCTCTCAACCAATCCATGTCGCCTCCTGCTAAGTCGTGACGGGATGAACGACTCCGGGATAAGCTCACCTGTTGACGTTGAAAAGTAAAATTCAGAATGTGTAAATAATACAATAAATAAACAAATATTATCTAATAGTTACTTAATAATAAACTTAAGTTCAGAAATAATCAATTTTCACAAAGTCTGATCGGCAGTGTATTTTGTACAAAGATATATTATTAAGTAGTAAATAGAATATTCATTCTTATGTCATTTTGGCTTGTAGAAACTACTGAAAAAAAATGTAATTATAATAATGGCAAGTGATTATACTGCATCCTTGCTGGAGTCGGACATCTTGGAAGGTTGTTTCTTCGGTACCGCAGGAGGCATGATGGCAGGTTAAGCTGAAAAGACGTTCCAAAAATGATTTTGGATAAAGATGCTTATGTTCAATAAAGAAAATGAAAAAAATCAATGTTCTAAGTTTGGACTTATGTACCTCATATAATACTGGTCACCGTGGTATCCTTACGATACTGAATTTGCAATGTTTCGATGAAGATAAGATGAATAAACAGTGACAGTGCCTTTAACCTTTTGGCATGAAGTTGACAACCGTTCCTTGTATTTGACAGCTGACTTCGACTAGTTTAGAACAACGACAAAGAGCTTCCGGTCTCTTTGAAGATTTGAATTCTGCGATATGAATAAACAGATCTGCTTGTAATCGGTCAGCAATTTTTCTCTACTTAATTATTATCTTTATTGTATATACATACAGTTATTAAAACTTGTGTGTACTTCCATGTAGAAAACTATCTACAGGTTACCTAGGTAACCTTCATTAGATGACTGCGTCAGGACCTACGTGACACCGGTCCGAGCCAATACCTGTTTCTCCACATTGAATTTAATTTTTACATTAGTGCTCTCAATAATATATTTAACTAGGGCTTGATCACCACATTCTATAAAATGTGAAACATACCCATCGATACTTAAAATCCCAGATAATATAGTTTGAGATCGGTCTTCTAATTCTTCGAGCCATCTTGATAACTTCAAAGGAATACAACTTGTCAATCTTGTGATAACATGAATTAATTTCATTTTTATAATCGTAGTTCCCAATTTGAACTTAGGTATTTTAAATTCTCCTCATTTCCCGATGTAATTCTTATCCTCCTTGGCACGCGTCCACATGTTCGGTGTAAAAATCAATAAGGGGATGTCGGTAGATTCCACATCAGGACATAACAGCTGTTCTCGGTTGCGTCCACTCGTGGACTGCGTGTTCTTCTACTCTGTGCTTCCTTTTATATTTGAATTTGCAATTTCCAAAGATGTTTGCGAGCGTCGGGACGCTGGTCGTTTAAGAGTTCCTTGGAGAAGTGAAGTGAAGTGCCTCGTATCAACAGATGATTAACATGTATACAGATTTAGAGGAGTTTAGTTTTCACCCTTCGATGATTGTCTTTGCATTATCTCTAATGAATATAAAAATGACCTGATTGTGGTAAAGGGATATTTGATAATTCTTTCAACAAGTTATCATTAGTTGTAACTTGTTAAGGTATGTTTACGATGGCAAGAATTTTATTTTATTTTCAGTTTTGTAGTTTCTTAACGAGTTGCATTGAATTTCAGATTGATTACTAAGGAAGAGTGGATTTATATTTATTCTGCATTATGGAAGATAGTGGAATCGATAGCGATCCAAAGACAGTTAATCATGCCGAAGACGAAAGATTATTTTTGGTAAGTTGGTAAGCCGAGGCAAAATTAGATCTTGTTTACATTGGTAAACCAAGTAAAGCGAGTGAGTGCATACAAGAGGATTTAATTGGTGAATATTCATTTTAATAGGGCAGCGATAGCAGTTGCAGTAGCAGTCAAACGCAGGCCTCTCAACAAAGTACCGCAAAGCAGTTGCAGAAAAAACTGGGTAAATCTATTAATGTTTTCGTATAATCTTTCTGAAAGGAAGAAATTTTATTACTCGTTAATTTTATAGAGGCAAGGATCGAACAAGCTAAACGTATCCAACGGAACTCTGACTATATTAAATTACCAAGTAATGGCAGCGAGAACAGTGGGATCAGTAATATGGGCTTGATTCCTATTCAACGGTTACCGATCCCTCAGAAGAACAAGGAAAATCATCCACTTCTTGTTTACTGGCACAGCGACAGAGAAAGGTAATGTTCTGACATTAATCGATAGAATAAAATAATATAAATTAACTACAGAAATTTATTTCTAAACTAAGAATTTAGGTATAGCATAAAAGGTTTAACAAATGTACGTTTCAGCGAAGACGAGATATTTCCATTGTCCGGAAAGAAAGATTCGAGTAAGAGTAAGCAAGACTCCACTCAACGATTGCCACACTCTCAGAAGAACAAGGAACCTGATCCACTTCTTCAATATTGGCACAGCGATAGAGAAAGGTAACGATGTAATGTTTTTAAATATGATAAAATTAAATAACCTGGATTAATCACATTATCATATGCTGTAGTGAGGACGAAGTGTTTCCATTGTCCCAGAACAAGAATTCCAGTAAGCACAAGCAAGAGCTCACCGACACTTTTAGTATCGAAGAATTAAGTGAAGGAAGCGAAGACTCGTTACATTTGGGTCCAGCTCAATCTCCACATCCTCACACGCGTACTTACACCCCAGCTGGGTGTTTTTCTTGCCATTGTCATATCCTTTAACGGAACATAACCTAAAGGAAATTTATAACGATCAATGGAAGCGATTAGATTTAAGGCAAAAGACTGCTTTAAGATATTTCCTGATATATTCTTTGATCCGTCGCTTTCCATGCCTTAAGATATCAGCAAAGCATTTTTCATCGATGTAAAGCAGCATATACTTGTGTACAAAGCATGACGGATATGCACAAATGTTGTAAGTTTTAATTGCTGTATGCATGTTAAGTGTTCCGATAGAGAATTTAATGTCAAGTCAAATTTGATCTCTTACGTAATAAGTGATTTTAAGTACAAAGGTAATATTTAAAACTTCGGTAATTGCATTGTTAATAATGTGCATAACTGTTCGACGAAGAATGCAAGGAATTTATTCTGTGTCGGTTCCATTTAAAGTATAATGATTCTTTATAGTTACGTTGCGTAGCAGTATAATGGTACAAATGTCAAGAGATGATGCCAAAGATAATCGTTGACAAGCACTGCGTCTTTTTTATAACATAAATGCGGGGCTTTTTAAATATAAAACTTATTTGTTTCTCTAGATCAATGTTTTTTAGTAATTTTATAACAGTTTATAATTGTTGCCAAATTTTTAACGTAGCTTATTTAAAGGACAGTTCCTTATATAACGCGGGCAAATGTTTTGTTAATGTTTATACGTAAAATAATGCGCCAAAGAAGTAATGTACCGTGCGTCCTATGGGAGTACTTTCAACCCTCAAGATGATAAATGACAACGGAGAAATGTAAATTAATATAAACTATTGGTGTTAAAACTTCAAATTCTATGTATGTCTATTCGAGGTTCGCGGGTATGGAGCGGACTAATTTTGACGAAACATAAATCGCTGTTTATTCCAAATGTCATGGAAAACAGCTCCTTCTGGTAACAAATTACTTTACATTAACGATGTCTAGGGTAGAATGCTTAATTAATATAATCGGTAATTTTTATGACGACTTCCAAAGAAATGCCATCGACAGTCAGTCGTGAATAATCGAGAAAAAGATGTGACACATTAATGTAAATGGTAAAAATATTAAAAAATACCGTCATGTCTGTTGCATTTAATTCCGAAGAATTATTTATTAACCGGGCACGACTGCTTTTACGGGGATTTAAAACAGGGACTTCGAAAAGTATGATCATTCAAGATGTCGGACGCGTTACTTCGTTTCAACCAATTCCCTCGTATAAACGTAAAATAGGGAAGGGAAGAGCGTTTAATCGAAATCTCGCCATTCTACGCGGAATCTCGTATTCCAGGCGGGCGATAACGTTAACGAGGAACACGGCATATTCGCCAAGTGCGATAAATTTAAAACAATGCTACCGAGTAATTAATCCTCCATAGCGGCCGGGCGTTTTGCTCTTTTGAATTTTAACGATCATTAAAAAATGCTCCCGCGAGCGCACGCGAGATCGCAATTACTCCGCTCCTCGCGGAAACGGAGGAGGGAATCCATACCGGAAGCCGGCGCAGAGATTCATCGCGAGAACGGGAGAGGAACCGAGCCACGTTTAGGAGCTGATACCCCATAAAACGAACGTTTACGCGTACTTTCCCCTGCATCATTAATAAAAGAGCCCCCGTTCGCCCCTCCGCCCCATGGGGAAGATCCAGGAATCACCTCTTGGCAATGAGTCCGATATTAAAATAAAAAAAAAAAAAAAGAGCGAGCCTTTGGCCACGGCCTCGTTCCGCGTCCTTAGTTACGGCATATCTCGACCTATCGAAACGAAAGCCTCGGTCGGCCGAATGAAATACGACGTCCGTCGCGACGCACGATCTCTCCGCTCTCTTAGCCTTGTTCCGGGCGCACAGCCTCCGGAGGAGCGATCGATCGATCGAATCGAGGGGCAATCGATCGGCCAGGAGTGGGCGGAGGCTCCTGGCGGGGGCGGAGGCGTCGCAGTCGGCGTGCGCGTCGGGGCCTCGCGCCTCCGGAGCACGCACCCGGACCGTCGCGGCGGCCAGTGCTCGATCGTTCGCCCCGAAAGGCCGTCCGTGGTGTAGAGCGCGCCTCGCCGCGCGGCTGCGACTCGTCGTCGTAAGTCGTGTGCCGCGGGCCCGCCGCGCCCGCTCGAGGGGAGACACCGCCGATTGCAGGCGCGGAACCGCGCAGGATGGGGAGGGCGGCTCGGGGCCGCGCGCCCGGCTCGCCGAGGCGCTGAGCGAAGTGCCCGACCGCGGCGCCGCACCGCCGCGCGCGGGGCATGCCGCGGCCTCGGGGCCCCAGGACGATCGGTACGCGAGCCCAGCCCGGCCACCGCGGTGCCACCACCAAGGCGAGTCCGCCGCACTCCCGGCCGCGGCCGCTACCGCACGGGCCCGCCTGACACCGCCGCCACCCGCCCGACCGGCTCCCACTCCCGACCCCGCAGGTGCGTCTCGCCGAGAGGTTGCGCGAGGACATGGTCAAGGGAAGGTGGTCACGGATGCGTACATTCACAGTTTCGTACATTCATAGATTCACATATTCACATATTCACATATTCACGGATTCGCAGATTCGTATAATCACATATTCGTACATTCACACATTCGTACATTCGCATATTCGTACATTCACATATTCGTACATTCACATATTCGTACAATCACACATTCGTAAATTCACAGATTCGTAGATTCGCATAAAGCTTGATCGAACGCGTTCCCTCGGATTCATCCCACCCTGGCGCGTCTCGGAGTTCCTTCTAGCCTACTACCCGCCCAGGGCGGAAGGGTGGACTCCTCTCGGAGGAAGGACTCGAGGGTGCCGAAACACGATCCCCGAGAATCAGGGAATTTCTAGTATTAGAAAGGAACTAGTATCGGAACCCTCGTAGCCGACGTTCAAGCTGATAAATATCTCTATTAGCGGTCGCCTCGTGTCCCTGACCGGGACATATAAATCGCGTCAACCTGCGCGCCAACCCGCCCATAGTTAATAAGAGGGCCATTTCTCGGGGCAACTTCCGCGTTTCCATTTAATTCCTCCCAGTTACCGCGGGAGATTTCCCGCGGCAGGGGTCGGAAACGCGGGCGTTTGGGGTCGAAGCTCGAGGGGCGGAAATCGGCGATCGGGGTAAAGCGCGTTAATCGCCTTTTCCTCTAATAAGCAAACGCGACTCGCCTCGGCCCTTAAGCCGAGATCGTAAAACCGAGCCCGAGGTGGTGCACGTCCCCGAGATTAGTAAAGTGCGCTTTAACTACCCCTAGGGTACGGATGCAGGGCAAGGGTGGCGACGTCGAAGCGCGCCCCTGATGCCGAACCAATGGCCCGGGGATGCAAAAATGGCCCTTCGATAAAAACCACCGGACGTTCCCCTCCTAGAGGCTGCGATCAGAGTTTGGACCCCTTCCAGGATAACGATAACGACGAAATTACGCGCACGCCCCCCGAACTTCCGGAAACCACGTGACGGTTTACCCGTACCCCCGCGGATCGATCTGGAAAGATTCTCACGTGCCTTGAACGATCCAATCGAATTTTTTTTAATCCGTTTAGTACTCCGATAACTTTGGCCATCTCGGAAGAGGAGGAAATAGATGCCCGGGAAAATGTATCGAGTCTCTCGTTTCTCGATTTTCCCCGCTCGGTCGATAGGGAATCGAGTGGCCTGATAGAAAATAATGCCCGAGGAGAGATGAGTTTCGGTCGAGGTAGATTTCGCCGGCGGATTAGGTGCCGCATCCGGTCCTCAAAGCGCCGTATCGATCCGCCCTGCGATTAATGCGGATGCGACTTAAGGGTGTTTCCTCGCGTTACCAGCTGCCTTAACCCTCCTGCACAACTTTGGGATGTTTAATCGATCTCGACCGAGGATCGGGGAACTCGCCCCAATAACGCGGAACGGATTTTCTTCCGCCCCCCATGTCGCTTGCCAAACCGCGGACGCGGATAAACGCGTTATTCCGCAGGAGATGGAATCTATCCCCGGTGGAATAATTTTTTTCTTCCCTCCCTTCGGATTATATACAAGTCTTGTGGCATGTAACGTGCCTTGTAGATGGCAATAAAATGTCCAAATGATAAAATCAAGGAAGCTCGAGTTGGATGGGCTCCACTAATTCGATCCGTCAGCTTTACAAATGGATTTCCACTTCCCTCGTTGCCTCGAATTATTTGACGATGCGTTTACTCGGGATTTAGTAAAGCGGGGCACAGAGGCGAACGGTGGAAATGGAACAATTGGCTCGGTACCGATCATCGATATAATCGTCTTCCTGCGGATTTAAGGGGATACGAAAGTGGCATTTCGAGGGCCGATCGTCTATGAAACGTCCCTCGGAAATGCGTCTACCAATCGTTTTAAATATTTATTTAAAAGGTTCCGATCCCTGATAAACCTAATTTCTTTAACGAAAGATATCTAAGCGAAAGGAGAAAGAGAGAAGCTTCGTAAACGATCGACCCCACTTTCGGGCCACCTTAAGGATCCGATTAATTCCCGGATTTTCCCGACTGGGGGGCGCCGTTTTGGGGATAATTATTAATAACTTTCGGGGGAACTATTTTGCGCCCTGGACGTTTACGACGTTAATCCCGAGTGCCTCGCCGGGTGTATCCAGCCAGGGAAATTAAGGGCCCTAAGTGGAATCGCAGAGGCAGAAAGCCCGAGGCGCTTTATTATACCTGTAATCCGGGAAATTTATTAAGGCACATTTGGGTTAACACGGGAAACGGAAGTGGCCCTTAAGTTAAATCGATTTAACAGCGTGCAGGACCGCGAAAATAATTCTTTTCGGGGGCGCCCCGAGGAAGGGCGTGGCGTCGATAAATATGGCCCCGGAAAAAAATTCCCCTCCGAGAAATCCCGGGTAAACGTTCGTCCATTTATTCCTTCTCTTTTTGTGCAATTTCTTCTTTTTTTTTTTTTTTGGAGGAAGCTCATGAATTTTTGGGAGTCCCGATCGGCGATTCCGCGCCGATGATAGGGATGATACCGAGGGTAGGGATTTAAAGGGCGTTCCTTTCGGCTTAATGGGTGCTCGCAAGTTTAATTACACGTCTCCTGCGGGGCCCTTTCATTAGGACGTCTTTGGGCCTCGGAAGGGGGACGCGCGATTAAGGAGCCGCCTTTCGCGAATTCGACGGCGCGCGTCGCGACGCCTCTGGTTTCTTAATTAGCGCCGGCGTTATGGCCCCGCTCGGACGAGACACGTATCTCTGATGTTTAAGAGTCTAGACCGCGACCTTGCCCCCCTTAATTTCTCTCAAATTCCCGGCTTAAGGTCGTGGTTCACTTGGGACGAGACGCGATTCGCGACCTTTTGCCTCGCCTCGAATTTTCAGCCAGGTCTGCTCGTCGAGTGATAATAAATCGTGATTTTTTACAATTTTTAATTCCGTCATCTAGTTAGAGAACACGTGCGCGCCTTAAGGTCGCGATTCCTCGGCGCGGGGCGGGAATTTCGACCTTTCGACGACGCCGCGCGCCTCTTCTTCGGCTTCTTAGGCTCCGAAGGACGCCATCGGGATTCTCGAGTATTTACGACACCTCGTGCGTCCCTTTGTGAAACTTCGTTGGCGAAGAAAAGAATCCTCCCCTTCGGGGTAAGGCAACGGGGAGTCAGGAGAGATCCAAAGGAAATTTCCCTCGGAAATTTCCCGTCATCCTTGAATTTCCTATCGCTCCTCCGTTTTCGGGGAGGGATAGAGATCCCCCGGAGGAGATACGCAAGCGCGGTCCTATCAACCTCCGGATCTCGAGATTCCCTAAAACTCCCCGTTTTTGCGGAATTTCACTCCGGAGCTGGTTTGGGGTGGTTTCCGGAAAAGATTTCGACCCCCTCCTGGGACATTTCGTGGGAGGATGTAGAATAGGGAGCCCCACCTCGGGAGAGGGTCCTATCTCTCGTCTCTCTTTGTCCGAGTCCATTCCGAACGTCTCCTCGCCCTTCCTCTCGAGCCTCCCCCTCACCCCCTTTGGCGGGATAAGATCAAACGAGTAATGGAATCTCGCAAAGTCGGGAATCCATCCGCGGCCTCGCTTAAGTATTCCCATCCCGTTTTCGGGGTCCTCCCCCGGATAATTAT